GCATTTACAGCTGAAATCTGGGTTGACCACTATAATGCGGCCATCAGTGTAGAAAACTGTTAAATGTCAGCTTGGGGGCATAAGGAAACCGTATTGCCAGGTACTAGCATCATTTATAAAGCAAAATTCCAGTTACCTGAAAAGTTACTCCGACTGCGACCAAAATTCTGCTTGTGAGTGAAGTGCTTTGTTTTATTTCGTACAAAAGCCATAAAATCGTACAAACTTAAACCGGAGGCCACAGAATAAAGATTTCTTCTTTGTCCGAAGTTTTATGTGACATGTGGCAAGGATCTAAGCAAAATGTGTTTATGAATGTAATTCAAATATCACATGACCCTTAAGTTCTACGTGTTCTCAGCTCGTGGCTCCCCACCCTTGTACATACTTAATTTTGAAACCTAAGGCCCTCCTTTTTGTTTCTGAGGATACCCAAGGAGAGAAGAGAGGGAAGGTGGATTCTGTTCATGAGTTCCCCTGCCTTCCAGGCTTCTGCTTCTTCATGTGCATTTTCTGTTCTGCTCTGAATGAAGCTGGTGCTTCATTCAACCACTTTGAGTGTCTGAAATATCCCTAACCTCACGAAGCCTGTGTAAGAATATAGACTTTATGGGGCGCCTGGGTGGCTCAGTCGGTTAAGTGTCCGACTTCGGCTCAGGTCATGATCTCCCAGTTCGTGGGTTGGAGCCCTGCGTCGGCTCTGTGCTGGCAGCTCAGAGCCTGGAACCTGCTTCAGATTCGATGTCTCCCTCTCTCTCTACCCCTCCCCTGCTCACACTCTGTCTCTCTCTCTCTCTCTCTCCCAAAAATAAATAAACATAAAAAAAAAAAAGAATATAGACTTTATATGCTGAGCACAATGCAAGAAGAGTGGATTTTTTTTGTTTTTTTTTTACACTGCAGTGTCACAAAATTTCTTTACCTTTTTTGGCTTCTCTACCCTTTTCTCTCGTTCTCGAAAGAAGCTGTCATCTCTTCCCCTCTGTTTGAGCTGCAAAACAAAAATCTTCATCTCTGGTCTCATGCAGGGAGCCCACCTCTGGGGTATTTCAGCTGGTTCCCCCTTTGCTGAGCGGGGTTCATGTAGATTCCCCACAAAGGTACTCTCTAAGAGGATGCCAGCTGTGCGCATATCCTTCCGACCCTATCGCATATCTGTTCAAAGTCTGGCGATCATATGGCTGAGATTTCTCCAGGACGGTTTTAAATGTCATGCAATATTACTATTTTCAATAAATCTGACTCATTCTAGGTATGAAAAATTAATTAATGTGCATATAGATATATATATTCAGAACCTGAAAAAAATAGTTGATCAGATCACGTGTTTAGTTTTCATTTTTTGAAAAACATGGTCATTGGTAGAAACCATGACTTGCAAAGGTGGAGAAAACTACTTGGAAGCCTATCCCATTACTCATACCCAATGCTGATTTTTGCAAAAAGAAAGTAGGAAGGTCTGGATACAGTGTTTCTACAGTGATAGCTGTGGCCTACCTAGTGTCCCAGGGCCCACGCACCTGAGAGCGACAAGGAACTAATAATGCTGCTTCGAATGCTTAGAGAAGCCTTCACACACCATCTTCACAGTTGTGAAGTCAACGTCATTGTACTTGTTTCACGCACGAAGATACAGAATCTCAGGAAAAAATCTGAAAAGACTGTTCCCATTCTGCACCATTTCTAGAATAAGCGTGCCCTCCAGGGCTCCGGACTGAAAACGTTACGTTAAATTTTGACTCCGGCATTTATATTAGGAGTCTAAGTTTGGGCAACGTGGCTCCCTTCCCTGGGCTCCAGTGTTGGCATCTGGGGCATAATAAACAGCATCTACCTGCGAGGCTCGTGCTGCGTTTTAAATGAGTTAATACAAGTAAAGTTCTGGAAGAATGCTTTGACGTAAGAAGCACGTGCTAAAATCCGGCTCTTCAACCTATTTTCAGACAAAAGAGTAAGGGGACATTTTAAAAGGTACTTCTCATAGCAGAAGTTTACATAAGATTCTAGAGAGTAGCATATACTTGATTAACATTTTGCCATTTCTGTGATATTTTATTTAGTCTTTATCGTCAGCAGCACAGGGAGCTGCAGGATTCCCAAAGCCTCAACTCCACGTGGCCCCTGAAGTCCCTGCCCCAACCCTCCTGGTCCCTTCTCTGTCTCCCTGACCCCAGAGAGGACGGATCCCTATAGCTGCAGCACAACTCAGGTCTGGGCCCCAGACGTTGGCCACGTGATCACCAAAGGGTACGTCAGTTTGAAGGGTTTGGTTGACATTTCTGCTTGAAGTCACCGAATTCAGGTTCATTACACAGATTGAGCAGTTCCGAGCAATTCTTCAGCGTTTTTTGTTTTTTCCTGTTCAATAAAACTCTGTATTCAGAATAAACCAATCCGCCACCAATTTTTATGACCGGTAATTGAGATAGCCCAATGAAATGAATTCATCTTTCCCAAAATGTACTAATGTATCATGTGTCGTGAGTGCATTTTCTCTCCTGGCCTTGTTTTTCATTCATTTGACATGGTACTTGAGAGTGATTATAAAATGTAACTTATGATGTTCAGCAACAGTAAAAAAGATAAAAATGACCAAACCACTGGACGATAATACCATTAAGGTTTGGTGTAGTTGCCGAGACTTATTTTTCTTGCCATACGCATTTGGGCATTCAGACGTTTGCGAGTATGTAATTATATATAAAAACAGAGCTGTAACAGGATCTCTTACCATTTTTCCATGATCACAGACAGGGGTCTGCATGATCTGTTATAGCTGTATATTCTGACTTATAAAACAAATCCCTTAGTGATAGACATTTAAATGTTTTACCATTTAGGATTATAGAAACTGCCAACTTATTTCTTTGAACTTAGTTACCAAAGTAAATATAAGAAAAGGAGACACAGGAAGAGACTGCAAAGTATAAGATCTCATGTCATGTTCAGGTTTGCTCCTAGAATTATACGTGTGAGTGTGTCTATGGCTTTACGTGCAAAGTTACATTGGAATTACAAGTGGGTTCCTTGTTCGGCCACACGGTTTATTTAAGCCCTGGTTTCTCACCAAGCCTTAAGCTCTATAAACTCTCTACTTAGGTGGTTCTTTTTAAGAGTTTAATAATTTGTTTAAAAAATTTTAATGTTTATTTATTTTTGAGAGAGAGAGAGAGAGAGAGAGAGAGAGAGACAGGCAACGTACAAGCAGGGGAGGGGCAGAGAGAGAGGGAGACACAGAATCCAAAACAGGCTCCAGGCTCTGAGCTGTCAGCACGGAGCCAGATGCAGGTCTCGAACTCACAAACCTTGAGATCATGACCTTAGCCGAAGTCAGATGCTTAACCGACTGAGCCCCCCAAGTGCCCCAAGAGTTTAATAATTTAGCATTTGGAAAGTTTCATTGGCGTTTGTAATTAGTGTCTCCATGACTGCCTCACCAAAATTTTAATGTATCCCCAGCCATAATTTTTGGCTCTAAATCAAAGCCACCTGAAAGGTGCCCAGCTTGGGTACCACCTCCAAAACCCACATTTCACTGGCCATGTCAGCATGGGAGACTGTTCATCAGTAGCAAACAACCATGACCCAATAGGTCACTGGGACCTTCATGACGAAAGGGTTGCGTATGTAAAAGACCTCATTTTTAGCTCACACACACACATACACAAATCCATATTTATACGCATGTTATATGTATGCGTATACATTATGTACATTACGTATATACATTACATTATATTGCATATACACATTATATTTATACATATTGTGTTGCATTAGAATACATTTTATGTTTACCTGCACAAACACGCACACACACATATACACACACAAACTGAAATCCTAAACTTCTAGCAGTCTTCCCCATTCTTTTGATAATTATTTGTCGGGAGCTTTAACTAAAATTTATCAGAGGAATATAGCCTAGAACAACAATTTCTTTTGTTGAGACTCAACTAACAATAGCTCATGCCTACCGCAGCAGTTTCCCCCAGAAGGATCCCCAAGCACTCAGCAGAATACATACATAGAATTAGCATCACTCACCCAGTGGAGGGAGGCATGTGAACTCCAAAAGCCATTCTTCACCTGCCACGTTACAAAGCCCAGCACAGTGGGATTTAAGAGCATGATCAAAGAGTAACTTTCCTCACTGAATCTCCAGGGGATTATAGGGTGACGGTATAATTACCCCGGTTAGAATTTAGCCAGCCACGGAATTAACACTATCTCCACTCTTGTAGGAACAAAGAGACAGGAGAGGACCCGAAGGTCTTTAATGGCCAAAAGAGGTCAAGCCCTCAGTTTTATATCTCACCCCAGAGACACATGAGATATTTCCCCCCTGACCAGAATGCCATCCAAGGCTGTCCCTTCTATTTTTTAACTAGACGGAAGAAAATAGTCATTATTTTAATAGTGTATTGCACTTACGTTGCCAAGGCTACCTAGAGACCCCAAGGCCTACAGCCTAGCAGGTAATCACAGTGGAAAAGACAGCTTGGTCCCTTCTGCCATGGTCATGGATAGAGAAATGCCTTCGTCTGCAGGAAAGCCATCTTGTTTGAAGAAAGAAGACACGGGATAAAGAGATCCCCTTAACGGTGAAGATTTTATTTATCTGGCTGTACTGACATGAATTTTAAGCCCTTGACGGTGAGAGCCTTAGCAAATTTTGAGGTGAAATGGTTCCCAAGATATTCTTCATTATCACCCCCAGTGGCAGCCGCAACTACAGTCCAGGCCATGAACTTCTCTCCCCTCCTCACATGCTTGTCGTTTATGTCTATCCCCATCTCAGCGTCCGTCAAGGTCACTGTGAGGGTCTGAGGGCCAGAGAAGCTGTGATTTCAACTTCCCTGCTTCCCTTGGTTTGGTAGCTCTGTGTACATATGCAGAAAAGCACACAGCTCTCCTAGAACTATTTGTAGGCTGTTTTATGAACGCCGATCAAAAGTTTTCAAGGGTTCGCACACCCTTAATTAGCAGCATCTTGGGCACTTCTACCAAGACGCAGGAGGCACCCATGCCCTCAAGAAAAGCGAGCTAGATCTGGGCATTTTCTTCCTTTATAGTAGGAAAGTTTGAAGAATAATTTTACAATTAGGTAACATTAAGAATGATGAAAGCTGGAGAGCGGAAAGCAGCCAGAATTAATTACTTACTGGAGGGTCTGCTCAGGCCTCTTTGGCAGTGTTCACACTGATTTTATTATGGCACATTAACCCCTGGTATTCAGTGTAAGGGCGCAGTTCAGCCACAGACTTCGGGGCCTCTGCTCCTCCCCGTCGCTGGTTCCTCCTCCCCAGCTCTGCTCCTGTGCAGCCACATCTCCTTGGCATTTTCTCTCTCTTATTCGTTTCATCCATCTGATCGCCACGCAGACATGCTAGTTCTCGAAATGAAACTCCACTTGGAGAACGCTGTGGTTGTACTTTCCAGCTACTTGTCTCTCTTCAGCTTCCTGAAGGCAGTTCGCATATATCTACCCCAGATGGGACGGGCGTCCGAATGAATGAATGCCTGGTAAAAAAAAAAAAAAAAAAAAAAAAAAGTCAGTGATGACTGCAACTCCCTTCTCCGACACTTGTCTAAGAATCACGTGTTAAACACTTCACTCTGCACAGGGAGTTCTTTTCAGGTTATGGGAAACATAAACGTGCTTGAGACATGGCTCCCAACATCAGAATCTTACCTGTAAAGAGATATATTAATGTAAAAAGAACACGTTCATGCGGTGTTTTAGAAAACAATGTCATACTTTTATAAAGCATAAGACTATATATTACATTGAGACATGCTGGCCGAAGTATGATTGCTTATTCAAGGAAAAAAGTAATTATTTAGAGAAACACAGGAAAATAATTACTTTAGTGCCCATGTTATGTATAAAGGTCACTTTGGACTCTATCAATCCAAGAAGACCAAAAACATTCTAATAATGTCAGGACACTAATGAAATTTCTAGCATTCCCTTGTGTTGGGTCAGAAGCTGCATTATTCATGTTTGAATATGAAGAAATATATGCCATTTACTTTCAAAAGAAATTTGAAACTCCTTGATTACAAACTGGTACACAACAAAACCAAAACACTGAACAGAAAAACAGAAAAGAACACCTATGTGAAAAATCTAGACTAACATAATTTCCATGATTGAGCATTAAATCCAGCCCTGAAATTCCTCTGTCCAATGCAAAATTGGAAATATTATGAGAATTATCTCATTATGGCAATTCCCATTTCATAATGAAAAGCTCACACTAGTTATATCAAAGAAATAAATATTCCCTATGCAAGAGACTATGTTTGAAGAACGTAAGGGATATAATTTCAACCACAATTTTGTGAAATGTGCAGGAATCTTTTTCATGTAATTGCTCTTACGTTGAATCTGTTTTTAAGGTTTTTAATTATTTTTGAGGGAGAGAGAGAGAGAGAGAGGGAGAGAAGGCAAGCAGAGGAGGGCAGACACAGAATTTGAAGCGGACTCCGGGCTCTGAGCTGTCGGCACAGAGTCGACGTGGGGCTTGAACTTACAAACCATGAGATCATGACCTGAGCTGAAGTCAGATATTCAACCAACTGAGCCACCCAGACGCCTGGATCTTACATCGAGTTTTAACAAACATTGAGAGTCCGGAGACAACTCAATAAAAATGGGAATTCTGAGGGTTGGCAAAAGTGTGGAACAACTTGAACTCCTATATTGCTGGTAAGAACACAAAACATTAGAATAACTTTAGAAAACAGATTGGTAGTTTCCTATAAATTTAAATACTCTTACAAAATGGTAGAGCAATTCCATTCTCGGTTATTTATCCAAGAAAAATAAAAACATCCATCCACACAAAGACCGGGATATAAATGTTCTTAACAGCTTTGTAACAAAACCCCAGACTGAGTCAAACCCAAATATCCATCAACCGTTGAATGGCTAAATAAATGGTTATGTCTCTATACAATAGTATGTTCCTCCTAAAAGTCAACAAAATGTCCCTACTCTCATGGAGTTTATATTCTCATGAGAGAGACAAACAAGTAAGCAAATAAATATATATATATGAACAGTGACGGGTAGCAAAGCCTGTTACAAAGAAAAATGAAGGAGATCATAGGATGGAAAGTAAAGGGGCATGGGCAGGTTAGAGTTGCTATTTTTGAGCATTTTAGGGGAGATGGTCAAGGAAGACCTCCGAGTGAGTACTATCTGAACAGAGATGTGAAGGGAAGGAAGGAGTCATCTGTGAAAATATCTGGACGTATCTGGGTGCCGAGATAACAGAATGCGAAGAATCTCAAAGAGGGAAGCAATATGGTGTGTCAGAAGAACAGGACATCCTGCGCGGTGGGGACCACAGGAAGCCAGAGCAAGAGAGTAGCACACGGATAGACACAAAGTCGTTTTCTATTTAGTGGGTTAGAACTGTCATCTTCCCCATCTTCAATCAATGGCCCTAAACTTTAGGACAGTTATTTACATTTGAGACACGTTCCTGGCAAAGTACTTTTGGTCTTTCCCCCAAGGGGACGGTGTTCAAAGGCAGTTTTAGCCCTATACGTATCGTTTGTCAGTAACCGTAAGCAATTGGTTAAGCAAAATCAGAAGACAGCATATATATTTGAATCCCCAACAAACCTTCCAAGCTGCCTACCACATCTGTAGCAAGTCGGAGATTTTACATAAGATGTACCGTTGCTGTGGCAACATTGACACCACTCCCTCCAGCAACTGCAACAGCAAGGTGTTTTTACCATCTTCTGATGTAAGGAGGAATCCGGGGAGATGTTATCTCAAGTCATTGTCACTTGTTCTTGAGAAAACATCCTCAGAGGAATTGCAGCTCCTAAGTCAGTCCTTCATTCTCTCTTACTTAAGGAATGTAGAACTATTTCAAGTCCCCAACCAAGATCTGTGACCTCCTTCCTTTCTTCCTTCTTTCCTTCTTTGTGTCCATTTTCCTTCCCTCCCTCCTTTCCTTCCTTCCTTCCTTCCTTCCTTCCTTCCTTCCTTCCTTCCTTCTTTCCTTCTTCCTTCCCTCCCTCCCTCATTCCTTCCTTCCAATATCCATTCCATAATTATTTAATGACCACATACTATGTGTGTTAGACACTATTCTAAGCTCTGGAGATACTGTGGGGGGATAAAGCAGGTGAAGGTGCTGATTTATGGAGTGTACCTTCGAATAAGAAAGGCAGATAATAAATATAAGTGAATAGAAACATAAGATATAAACAATGATAAGTGTTTTGAAGATAATAATATTGTATAGGCAGAAAGGGTGTAGGTCAGTGTGGTTTTTACAGGGGCCCATCAAGGAAGTCTAAGGACTGATACTCAGGTAGGGACCTGAGGAAGTGACAGAGGAACAGCCGCGAGGAATCTGGTGTCAGAATATACTTGGATTATTCACAGAACTGTGACAATGCCAAGGCTGGGGGGAGAGGGAGAGCGGAAGGGGATGATACAGCGAGACTCCATTTGTAGAGGGCATTGCCATTCTTAGAAGGACACTGGGTTTTATTTTAAGCATGATTATGGGAAGTTATCGGGTGATTGGATGGCTGACTGGAGAATGACAGGACCTTGTATGTATTTTTAGAGTCGCACTCCGACTGCAGAGTAGATAATATATAGCAGGAATGTTGGTGGAAAGAGAGGAAGCAGGAGAAATTAGGAGGTTACTTCACTGTTCCATGTTAGACTTAGACTAGTGTGGTCGCCTTCATAATTTATGTAGCATTTGAATTTAGCCTTGAAGGATGGTGTGTCAGGATTACATCTATCTAAATGTAGAAACCCGATTGCAGTGACTTAGCCACATAGAGAATTCAATTTTTCTTCTCTGAAATAAAAGGTCTGGAGATACACATTCCAGAAGAGGTGCAGCCGCTCGAGAAAGCCACCAAAAAACACAGGCTCCTTTGGGTTGCCTTTTCCACTATCCTTAATATGTGCCTGTCTTCCTCCTGGTTGCAGGATGGTTGCTTCATCTCCGGGCATGGCAGCCACATTCCAGGCAGAAAAAAAAGAGAACAATTGGGAAGAAGGCCAGGAAAGCAAAAACATCACAGGTGCTCCTCAGAAGCTTTTGCTCCTGTTGTGTCGTCCCGAACTGAATGACATGACCAGTTCAGAAGGCGTGAGACTCTGAGGATGGGGATATTTTTAATGAGGCACATTTCTACCACAAGCACGGTTGGGGCTCTATTGGTAAGGAAAAAGAGAAAATCAATATTTGGTGAGCAACGAGCAGTGTCTACCAATGGAAGGATTGACACAGGTGAGGAGGGAATGGAAGGCGAAAAGACCATTCGAGAGAAAAGAGGGGCAGAAGACAAGAATGAAAGGTAAAAGCAAGCACACAAACAAACAAGAACAAGAACAAAAATAGAACCATGGGTAATCGAAAGGAAAAATGAGGAAGTCAAAAAAGTCTCTGGCATTTAGCGGCTCTGTCCTAGGGGTAGTACCTATTAGATAAATCTAGAAACTCAGCTGATGTGAACCCACAGGGGTATCAAAGGTATTATTTATGCAGGAGTCAAACTGACACCACAGCAAATTCAGGAAAATCAAGGGAGAATCAAAAGATCGTCCACACAATAACGATCCTTCACCCTTGGGACACTGGTAAAGACACACTGAGATAATTTGTGTGAAGAGTTTAGCCCAATTCCTGGCACGTAGGAGCCAAGACCCCCGCTATATGATACCCGCAAACGGAGAGGGGCGACAGGTAGGGTGCACAATGAGAAGGAATGAAGCAGGAAGCAGGCTGGATCAAAGACGTGTTCACTATCTTACAGGAAATGTGTAAGGGTCACACTGGAAAACTAGAAGGAGGACTGTAGTCTTTCTCATGTATTGAGAGGAAGGGGGAAGGAGTCAGAGGTGTTCGTTTTGATCCATACAATAGAGAAATGGTGATATCAATATGGCAGAAAATTTTATTGGTACATTGATTCAGGCAGAAGTGAATGCAAGGAATGTCCCCCACTCCCACACCAAGAATTCTTTGTGTTCTGAGTCTGGGCTTTCTGTAGTAAGGAGGTCACTCTTAACTTTTTATTGCAGGGCTAAGAACAGGGATTGAAAATACTACGAGACACTCTCCCGCTCAGTGATGTGGGGAGTTTAGATCTACTAAGGAAAGCTTGGCATGGAAGTTGATAAAAGGCCAAAAAGAGGAGATAAAGGGTTTGTCTCTCCAAGACTGGCAAGGTCCTTGTGGTTCCAGGAGGGATGGGTGCCGGTGTCTTCCTCTCAAAGCTCAAAAGCTGAAGTGTTCTCTTTGGGGTTGATGCAAGACTGGCGAGATGGAGGTCACCAAAACGGATGCAGGGCGCAGAGAGGCAAGACAGCAGGCAGAGGGGGGGTGTGCTGGAGCCATGGGGCAAAGGGGCCCAAATGACAGAGCACAAGGGGTGGGCGGGTCTAATCTATGTCTCCCTTGGGGGCCCCGGGCTGGAGCGGGGGCAGGTCCCACCCCTCGGGGACAGCTGCATTGTAAAAGTCCACT